GGTGTTGGTAGTGGTGGTGGTGTTGGAAGTGGTGGTGGTGGTAGTGGTGGTGTTGGGTAGTGGTGTGTTGGTTTGTGGTGTTGGTTGGTGTGGTGTGTGGTGTTGGTGTGGTGTTGTGGTGTGGTTGTGGTGTTGTTGGTGTTGGTTGTGGTGTTGTTGGTGTTGTTGTGGTGTTGTTGGTGTTGGTTGTGGGTGGTGGTGGTGGTGGTACTGGTACTGGTGTGGTAGTGGTAGTGGTAGTGGTAGTGGTAGTGGTGTGGTGGTTGTGGTTGTAGAGGTGGAGGAGAAAGAAAAGGAAGAGGAAGAGGAAGCGAAGGAGTAGGAGGAAGAGGAGGTGGTGGTGGTGATGGAAGTGACAGTGGTGGTGGTAGTTGGTGGTGGTGGTGGTGGTGGTGGTGGTGGTGGTGGTGGTGGTGGAGGTTGTGATGGTGGTGGTGGAGGTGGACAAGGAGGAGGACGAGGAGGAGGGAGTGGTAGAGGAAGAGGTGATGGTGTAGGTGGTGGTGCAGGAGGAGAAAAGGAGGTGGTGGTGGTAGTGGTGATGGTGGAGAATTAGGTGGTGGTGTGTGGTGGTGGTGGGTGGTGGGTGGTGGTAGGGGTGGTGGTAGGGGTGGTGGTAGGGGTGGTGGTGTGGTAGTGGTGGTAGGGGTGGTGGTGTGGTAGTGGTGGTGTGGTAGTGGTGGTGCTGGTAGTGGTGGTGTTGGTAGTGGTGGTGTTGGTAGTGGGTGGTGTTGGTATGGTGTTGGTAGTGGTGGTGTTGGTAGTGGTGGTGTTGGTAGTGGTGGTGTTGGTAGTGGTGGTGTTTGGTAGTGGTGGGTTGGTAGTGGTAAGTGGTGGTGTTGGTAGTGGTAGTGGTGGTGTTGGTAGTGGTAGTGGTGGTGGTGGTGATGGTAGCAGTGGTGATAGTAGCAGTGGTGGTATTGTTGGTGGTAGTAGTGGTGGTGGTGGTGGTGGTGGTGGTGGTATTGGTGGTGGTGGTATTGGTGGTGGTGGTAGTGGTATTGGTGGGTGGTATTGGTGGTGGTGGTATTGGTGGGGTGGTATTGGTGGTGGTGGTATTGGTGGTGGTTGTATTGGTGGTGGTGGTATTGGTGGTGGTGGTATTGGGTGGTGGTGGTATTGGTGGTGGTGGTATTGGTGGTGGTGGTGGTGGTGGTGGTTGTGGCCAGTGGTGGTATTTGTATTGATAGGGGTGTGGTAGGGGTGGTGTGCTGGTAGTGTGGTAGGGGTGTGGGGTGGTGGTAGGGGGTGGTGTACTGGTAGTGGTGGTGTTGGTAGTGGTGGTGGGTAGTGGTGGTGTTGGTTGGTGGTGTTGGTAGTGGTGGTGTTGGTAGTGGTGTGGTAGTGGTGTTGGTAGTGGTGGTGGTGTTGGTAGTGGTGTGGTGGTGTTGGTAGTGGTAGTGGTGGTGTGGTAGTGGTAGTGGTGGTGTTGGTAGTGGTAGTGGTAGTGGTGGTGGTGGTGATGGTAGCAGTGGTGATAGTAGCGGTGGTGTATTGTTGGGAGTATTGTTGGTGGTAGTAGTGGTGGTGGTGTTGCTAGTGGTATTGGTGGTGGTGGTGGTGGTGGTGGTGGGTGGTGGTGGTGTGTGGTGGTGGTGGTATGGTGGTGGTGGTGGTGGTATTGGTGGTGGTGGTATTGTGGTGGTGGTTGTGGCAGTAGTGGTATTTGTATTGGTGGTGGTTGTGATGGTGGTTGTGATGGTGGTAGTGGTGGTGGTGGTGGTGGTAGTGGTGGTGGTGGTAGTGGTGATGGTGATGGTGGTAGTGGTAGTGGTGGTATTGGTGGTGGTATTATTGATGGTGGTGGTGGTGGTGGTGGTGGTTGTAGTGGTGGTTGGTGGGTGGTGGTTGTGGTGGTGGTTTTGGTGGTGGTCGTGGTGGTGATTATGTTGGTGGTTATTGGGTGGTTGTGGAGGTGGCTGTCGTGGTGGCAGTGGTGGTGGTTGAGAAAAAGAAGATGGAGATGGAGGAGAGGAGAGGAGGAGAGGAGGAGGAGGAAGGAGGAGGAGGAGGAGGAGGAGGAGGAGGAGGAGGAGGAGAGGAGAGGTGTAGGAGGAGGAGGTGTAGGAGGAGGAGGTGTAGGAGGGAGGAGGTGTAGGAGGAGGAGGTGTAGGAGGAGGAGGAGGAGGAGGAGGAGGAGGAGGAGGAGGAGGAGGAGGAGGAGGAGAGGAGGAGGAGGAGGAGGAGGAGGCATAGGAGGAGGCATAGGAGGCATAGGAGGAGGAATAGGAGAGGAATAGGAGAGGAGGAGGAGGAGGAGGGAGGAGGAGGAGGAGGAGAGAGGAGGAGGAGGAGGAGGAGGAGATGGAGGAGATGGAGGAGAGGAGGAGGAGGAGGAGGAGGAGGAGGAGGAGGAGGAGGAGGAGGAGGAGGAGGAGGAGGAGGGGAGGAGGAGAAGAAATAAAGAAAGAAAAGAGGATAGTAGAAGCAGAAAATAATTCTAATAAAAATATAACAAAGAAATACCTCCTGTATTATCATCAACTTGTGCTATACATAC